ATTGGCCACAACAGTTGCAGATGCGACCTTTTAATTACTTTGAATGTCAATTCAGCTGCGTTGAATTTTCTAAAGCTAGATTAGCCTCAGTATGTCAGCGGCCACATATTTGTAAATTTTTGCCAATGCTGGTTTCAAAACCGCGACTTGATGAGTCCAGATTAATCTCCGTCGGTTGTTTTTGATTCTTCTGGGTTGCGCAGCTCCGGAGTAACAGGTTCTCGGAACGGCGTTGGATTTTCCATCGGTCTCCTGTCGACTTCATTAAGTTTCAAAAGTTGTGGACAATTGACGATACATCACTCCATTTGAACTCCGGTTTAAAGTGTCTCGAAATTCTCGTGTACCCACAGGGAGTAGAATGGGCGATGAAATCCTTTGAACCCTTGAAAACACCAGGGTCCGATGGTATCTATCCGGTGTTACTACAAAGGGGGAATGGATATCATCCTGGGGCTTCTTACCAAAATTCTGAGAGCCAGTGTAGCACTGAGAACTGTACGACGAGTTTGGGCGGAGTCGCAATAGCTATTTATGTCATTAGGCCCGTAAGCGGAGGTTGGCGATGAGTGTGACGGTAGCACTCACGAGGCGTCGGTAAGTGAGGGAGCGAGCCCCCCCAGCAAACAGAGGAAGTTGACAAAAGAAAAAACGAATGAAAGTAAGAAAAATCTTATCCATTTTTAATTGTAACTTTATTGAAACATTTTCACGTCAACGTTTTTAAACAAACAAACAAGTTGCATATTGAACATTATGCCGATATTAGATCTTATTTATATTTTTCATTTTTTCATAAACAATATAATAAAATAAAAAACATCAACGATTTTCTGTGCATTACGAATTTGGAGGGAAGAAATTCGTGTTCCTTATGAAGGGTTCTCCTTTCCACGCGAGTCAAAGAATTGCAAGTTAGAACAATTGGTGAATTGAAGAGTTATCCGCTGGAGAGGATACAATGCAGCATTCAACAGTTGTTGATTTTCATGGAGTATTAGGCCATGACGATCAGTTGAAATTGAAGTTTCGGTCAAGTTTCGGTCTCTTTGGTGGTGGTGGACGTTGCATTACTGCCTGTGATATCGTAAGATGAATTCCCATAGTTTCAGAAGGAATTGGTGAGACCGATGTAGACTTTGTAGAAGTGGTAGGTGCTATTTTCTTCATAATGGAATTGCTAATGATCCTCGATTGCTCTTCTCGATGTAACCTTCAGCGGTTTTGGAGGATTTGCAAACTCCGAGTTTCTTTAGAGCAATAAAATCTAACCCAGCCTCGGATGCAACAGTCGCTCCAGTGCGCCTGAACGAGTGTCCAGTATATGACTTGAGATTTTGGAGATTCAAATAAGTTGTAATGCCTTTGGGGAAACTTCCCACTTTGTGAATTCACATATAGTGACGGAGGAACACTCCATTGACGTATTTAATGAAAAATTTTTTATCGGCATAATCCCTGGGCCTCGCAGATATATATTTTCTCACTGTACGACAGAAATCTCCCGTAAGTGAGAAGTTTCGATCCGTATATTTCTTTGTTTTATCCAAAACAAAGGTAATACACGTACCGTGATCCGCGAAATGATCCAGAGTCAATTCAGTTAACTCTTTTCGCCTACATAGCCCATGAGTGCCAAGAATCAATAGTACCTGAAAATGAAAGAATCCTTTAAATTAGAAAGAAATAAATTGTGATTAAATTATAATATTTCCGTTTCTAATTCATTGTAAATTACTCGTAATCTTCATTTACCTTAACTGGAAGATATGTTTTTTCAGTTGCTTCGTGAATGAATTTCGCGATTTGGGCTTCTGTGAGGACTGAAGCTTTCTTATTCTTATGCGTGGACACTTTCTCATTATTTGATAAGAAGAGTCTGAGTTTCGCGAAATTATCAATTTCGATAGAATCATACGCAGATAGAGTTGTCTTAAGCATAGAATGAATTGATCGGATAGAGCCAGGTGCCATGTTGTGCGGGGGTCTCGATAACATAATGAAATAGCCTAATCGTGCTGCTTCATTAATTGTTCTAATTTTCTTGTCCTCTCGAAACTTCTTAAAATTATCATAGGCTCTGTCATAGGTTGCTTTAGATTTTGGTGGAATCAGGAGAGATTCAGCCTCATGGGCGAAGTCCAAAACATCTTGGTGGATGAAGTCAGCTCCATTGAGGTTATGTTCATCATCTAAAGGCTGTTAATAATTGAGAGAGTGAATGTTTCCTGATGTGATAGACATGGAGCTGTCAGATACACTTTTTTCCCTCAATGGAGTCGAAGTTTGCAGTCCGTCCTCATCACTGTCGGGTGTAATATCATCTCGTTTTTGTTGTGTAAAAACTCCCGGAGAAATGGCTCTCTCCGGTGTGTCCACTCTCTGTTCCTGTTCACTACCCAAATTTGACGAATTTGCAACAACAACAAAAACAACCATGTCAAGAAGGGGCTTTGCAGAAATCATCATTGTCTACGTACAAAGCATGTTGGTGAGTTGGTCTTGAACGACCGATCACATTGGCATACAGATAGGAGGTCGTCCGAAGGGTGGTTGCCCACAGGGCGGAGTTCTGTCTCCACTGCTGTGGTGCCTCGTTGTGGACGAGCTCCTAGAAGAACTGACTCCTAGAAGGGCTTCGTGGTGTATTGATACGCGGATGACGTTGCCATTGTCGCTAGGAGCAAGTTCCTCAATGTGCTGAGAGATAGACTGAACTACTCTTTGAGAACAATGGTGAATTGGTGTGGAAGGACGAAACTCTCAGTTAACCCTGGCAAGACGTCGGCGATGATATTCACCAGGAAATACAAAATTATAAACCCGGAGCCACTGAGGTTAGCGGGTGCAGAGATTGCCTATGCTACCTCAGTGAGGTAACTGAGTGTTCAACTGGACGCCAAACTCTACTGGAAAGAGCACATAGAGACACAGATGGGCGAGTGGTATGCCTCACTGTGGGCATGTAGAAGAGCCATGGGCAGACACTGGGGCTTTACCCCAAAGATCAGTCTGTGGCTGTATAAGATGGTTCTGCTGCCACAACTGATGTTTGCAGCTGTATTATGGTGGCCCAGGGCGAAGAGGGTGGAGATATGGAACCGGCTCAAATGCTTTCAGGGAAGTTTCCTGAGGGCAGCAACCAGGACCATGAGAACTTGATCATCTTGTGGTGAGTAGGGCAGAATCAATAGCTTATAGACCCCTGTGTCATGGGGAATGGATGCAGGCGGAAGCAGCACACTCCAAGCTTGACATCCTCACGAGAAATCCCTGGAACATGAGTCAAGATAGAATGACCAGGAAGTACCAAATCAAGGCATTTAAAATCTACATCCCTGAGAGGGAGAGCTCGGAAACTGTAAAGAAAACAGGCACCAATGTCATGCACTGGTATACAGATGGCTCATGATAGAGAGGCTGCTTTGGAGCAGGACTTTACGGCCCGAGGGAAACTACAGGTGCAACTGGTCCTTAGGGACTATGGCTACCGTATTCCAAGCGGAAGTTCTGGCAATGAAAAAGTGCTCAGAGCTTCTGCTGTCCCGGATGACAATCAACAAACACATTTTTGTGTGGACATATAGTCAAGCAGCTATAAAAGCTCTCCTCAAATCCAGCACTGACTCTAAGTTGGTCTGGGAAACCATGGAGAGCCTGGAAAAACTGGGGACCAGCAATAAAGTAACCCTTGCCTGAGTCCCAGGTCACGACGACATCCCCGGCAACGAAACAGCAGACGGGCTGGCAAAGCAGGGGCAATAAACGCGGACAAGTCTTCGCCAGTAGGAGTCCCCCACGCCGTGGGTGTAAGCCACATAACGGAAAAGCCCCGACGTGAACAGTCGGAGAGGTGGAAAGACACAAAGACCTACAGGAAGGCCAGGGCAATCATGCCTGGCTCAAGGAAGAAAAGGTCAAAAAAAAGCCGTGGGAAACGGTGGAGAACTGCCTTCCCCAGCGCAAATCAAGTCGCGAACGAGGATGCAACGAATCTGTTAAGACTGGCTACAAAGGCCGGGCTGAACATATGATCCACGCATAAAACAAGCGGAGCTACAATAACTCTAATGTGAGTTTGGCATACCCTAATCTATCCATCTATCTAAGTGTCTCGAATGCGTACCGGGATGCTCCAACGTGGCACGGCATGCGCCAGGTATCACGTCATCATTTCGGTGACCACCCTGGCATCAGCTGGACGATATAATTTTCTGTTAGACTGATTTCTCTCACCCAGGATTCTGGATGTGGGATATTTTTACCCTCGGCGCGTTTTAATCTTGTTCCAATGGGGCATTCTTATTTAATTAGTAAGAGTCATCTTTTGCCTGACGTCAGATGAGCGGCCTCGCCCTGCCTGAGCTCAGGAACGACATTTGGGTCTCGAAGAAAATTTCAAGTGAATCGGGGGCTATTTAGTGACAGGTTACTTGGTTTTAGACTCATCACTTTATTCCAATGGAGGGGTGAGGCTGCACGAGGCACCATTCTATCGACTAATACGGCTGTTGTTCAGGGGTATCTCGCACCCCAGTGTAGCTGGTCCAGAAGCCAATTATGCACTTCCAAAATCGTAATGATGATACGATACGATACGACAATGTAATGTTCAATTAGGCCATTATGAAAATTTGAGGGTGTAGGTTCGGCAGGTTCGTTTGTTGAAAACATATTATGAATGACTGTGGGGACTTGCACAGAAAATTGTTGTGGAATTTCAATGTTGAATAATATGGTCATGTGAATTGGATGAGATTGGATTTTAATTCAAGTTTGCTATTGTATAAATTCTGCTTGGCTGAAGTAAAGACCGTAGTAAATTTGTAGATCTCGTACATCTACTGATCTGATCTGGCATGATGAGCAAGAAATGTACAAACTTTGAGAACAATTCATGAAGAAACTGATTTTATTTCTGAAACACTGATTATGCTGAATATATATATTTACATATCGCCTATAACTATGCATTCGTTTTCACAATTTTTTTTTCTTACATTCCGGTACTATCTCATCCTATGCATGCGGCTGTGGATAATGCACTGTTCCGTATTCATTCTCCTATAGAACATAGGAGTGACATAGAAAACCACAGGAAAGACCATGTCAGTACAGGCGGTTGCTCTATTATCAACCTCTCCGTCATCGGTGTCTGTTGAAAATTGAATTGAACGCGGAATCGAACCTGCAACTTTCAGAACACTAAACTAGCACCTAGCCACTGAGCTACCACGTCGGTTGGTTTTCACTATTGAATACACATTCCTAAATATAATATCCGAATAAGTATGCGTCCTCCTCTCAATTATTACGACGTCTGGTAATTCTTTTCTAGCATCTGAAACAGAAAAAAATTAGTCGGAATTATGAAAATATTTCCGTATAGAACAATAATCGATAATGATATCCAATAATATTTTGCAAAATTTAATAAAGCTCTAAAAATGACGGCTGATTAAATTTCTAAACTTCAAATTCAGTGGGATGTTACTTCCAAGTGGCTCATATGACACGTTTCAAATATAGTGCATTATCCGATTATGAACCTATTTTTTAGGGATCCAAATATCCAGAATGAGAGAAACAACGTGTATATCCAGAATGAGAGAAACAACGTGTATATCCAGTCCATCCAGTAGAAAAAAAATGGGGACATAGTGGACGTGGTGCGTTACCTAATTTTTACATCCACTTTGACACCATTGCGTCATTCCAATTACATATGCCCTGGCATATCGAATGAGGTAACGCACCACGTTCACTATGTCCTCATTTTTTTTCTACTGGATGAACTGGATATACACGTTGTTTTTCTCATTCCGAATATTTGGATCCCTAAAAAATAGGTTCATACCTGGTACGACATTAAAAAGTGAAAATAGACTATTATAATAATAAATAAATATTCACTCTTCTGTGACAATTCTCACGGTCGAAATTCTATCAGATTCTTTCTCACTATATGCACTAAAGTTATCCTCTACTCTACTTTTGCTCCTTACTACTGATCTCTTCACTTAAAATCAAATGGTTGAAATATAAAATGTCCACCTCTCACTGCTTCTTCTTCGTTTTCGGTTTTATGTGGAAGATGAACGGTTGTGGAAATGCGTGTGACATTTTATTTATAATGTCGTGATGGTACTACAGTCACTACTCTTGGTGAACGGTTTAGAGAAGATGACGAGCTTCAAATACAGTGGACTCTCGATAGTTGCAACACGTTAGGGGCTGTAGGGGTACCCGATTCGTGGAAAGTGGCAACTAACTCGGGCCCCCACTCCTGCGCGCCGCTCGGTCTCAATTCTGGGAAATTTAAAGGGACAAAAAGTATTTTCTTTTTCGGTGTCGAATAAAATAATTGAAGAAATATTTGTGCCGGGGAAACAACGTGTGTGTGGTACACAAGCATGGCTCTTTCGTATTTTGGTTACGATATCGATCGGAGGCGGAGTAGGGGTATCGCTCGAGCGTCTGAAACGCGAATCAGGGGAAAGAGTGGCAACTATCGAGAGTGCAACTAACGAGAGTCTACTGTACTTTGCCATCATATGCCACTGATTACAAAAACGAGTCTTGGCACTCGATTATAAATCATTAGTAGATTTTTGTACAATAAAAATAAAAAAAAACGAATGAAATTTGAGTATTGACTGAACCGAAACAAATAGCTCAATTCATTTACAAAAAAGGGGTATAAGACCACTTGACCAACCTCTATATTTTCCAATTTTTATGGCTATTTTTTACTAATTGTAGTTAGTTGTTTAATTTGATTTTTCTCTTTGATTATTTTTCATTCGCAATTTAGAGTATCACGTTTTGCATGTCAATTTGTATTGAACATCCCACGGCCAGAATAGGAACGTAGTGGTTACAGGCCTCGAAGAAGAACCTATAACCATATGAGTCATTAGCTGGGATTATTTTTACTTTTTATTGATGAATTAGATGGAACGAAGACGACCTTCGCCTTCCCACCCTCTTGGGATTTAATATAATTATTCAACCTATTGACGGTTTCAAAATGTAATTGGCGTCTGGCTATTTAATTCAGAGTCTATTATGACTGTTTTGGTCTATCAAAGGCCTTGAAACATTTGAATACCTTTTAATTCTTCGAGAAATGTTTAATGTTCAGACGATAAAATATTTTGACAAACAATATGCGGAGTAGCCCCAAATCGTGGAAGTTAGTTAATCGATATTGATTTTTTGAAAATTTAAATAACTACTTATATTAGTGGGTCTCAATGTGAACTTCGCAATTTGGACAAAACATTACAAGGTAATTTTACTGATCTTTTCTCCTATGCGAGCCCTCCCGCCTTCATATTTATGTAACTGCTCCTTGATACTCCTCCACAATTTTTCTACGTTCTGAGTGTGTACACTTTTTTCCTGGGGGTTGACAAATTGGATCTTATGATTCGCTGTCTACTGATAACCTCTCAGTAACAACCCACAAAGACCCTTTCCACCCATCAGTGATTACGGTAGTAGCCAGCTCCACATTGTCCAAAACATAATCGCGTAGATGTTTCCGACCGATTTACTACTGGCGATGCTCGAATTTTCCCGGTATCGTGACCGTTAATGCCGCCTAGCCGTTACCTTTGGGCTCTCTCCCTCTATTATATTTTCTCCCTCCTATTAAAGCCTCATCGATCTCCACTATTTTTCTTTCACCTCCTAATTTATATTTTCTTAGACTGGTATCCCCGCCGGTTAAGACTTTATTAATTCTTTTTATCCATTTCTTGTTTTTTTTTATTTTATGCTCTTTTGTTAATGGATGCAAACTGATTTTTGGTGTGAGCAAATATTGATAAATTAGTCTAAAAATGATTTCGGTTTTGATGTTCGAATGCAAAAACCTGTACCTATACTGTTACTGTTTTTACTACTCCTTTTTCCATTACAAATTCGATGACGTTTTTTGTATGTAGACTGATTTTAAAGGCCTGGAATATATTCATTTTGAATACAGTGGTCCGATTGTTTTATACAACTTAGATCGGTTGTTCCCAGTTCTGCTTATGATTTTCAAATTATATTGATATTAATTTTTATAAAGGTTGGTGTTGTGGTATATTACCAAAAAAAGCATACTCCTACAGGACCATATTAATATGAAGAAGAGTTAATATTTTTTGAAAAGTCACACTTTTTCATCTTTTTTCATGCAATGATAAAATAAGGTCAATATACCTATTTTTTAGGTTGAACAAAATCGAGTTGCTATGGTAACACAAATAGAATTATGCATAAAAAAAAATAGAAAAAATTTTGATAAATCTAAAGAACTATTTCGTAAATGATTAACATAAAGAAAAGAAACGATGGTATAAGCATAAATAAATTAATCATTATAAAATAATCACGTTCGTTATCATCAGAAGGTTCAGATGTCCGTACATGGTGCATCGACATCATACGATCTCCCGTTCCTTAATAACACATCTTAATCCATATACATGCATGGATTAAAACATTTGTAGAAGCGACGTTAAGAGAATAACATGCACTGAGAGAAAAATCCCAGAAAAATTACTGTGCTCGGCACGGGAATCAAAGTGCAAAATGTTTTTATCGGGAAATTTATCGATGACGCTAAGAACAATTTCTAAGTACACCATATTTACAGGAAATTGAAGATTTTTTGACATTTGCATCAGTGAATTTTTCTATGCAGCACAGTAAAAATTCTGAGGCTAAGAGGCATTATCGCGAACTCAAAGAAAAAATGATTGACATAATATGATCCAGTCCTGTGAAAATTGCCACACGCCTGCTTGCTGCTGCGAGATTTTTACTGTGCTCCCAATCAATATTCACGACATGCCCTGGTTTGGGATAAAACAATTGCCGATGCCCACCGATTACTTCCCGACGTTACCAAACGTAAAAAAGTAAGGACATGGGCTTATTTTGTTCATATTTGAACCTGAATTGCATCAGAACGTGGAGTGACATTTTTTACCACTTTTTACACGTATAACAAAAAAATTTCTCGAAGCGTTATAAGATACTCTGTTAATATTTGAATTATGGTCAACTCGCGCCCTTTAAACTCTATATTATCATTATTATTTTTCTTTTCCTATATACAGTTTGTCTACTCCTTGCTACAATGCTTTTTGCAAAACGGAGCACATGTGTGAAAATTAATCTTCTATTCATTATAACAATTTGGTTTCATTATAATAAACGATACGTTTCTACAAAAACCGGGTCCACTGATTATCAACAGGTTATGGGCCCAGTTCCACGTTTTACCACGCTTCCACTGCGGTAAAAATTGCATGGAGCAGTAAAACGTTACGACGAAAAACTTTATAGGTTAGTTCAGTATATCGGAGCACGTGCAAAAGGGGACAATCTTTAAATCATTTAATCCATCATGTCAACTGTAAACACGATTACATCGGCCAAAATCGAACTACTGACGAAAGATAATTATGATACGTGGTGTGTGCAAGCAGAGGCGTTATTAATCAAGACTGATGGATGGCCATATGTGAGTGGGGAAATTCCACAAGCACCAAACCAACCGGCGAAGAAGATGCTCTGGTTTTGATGCGGTCAGCGACGACAGCTTGGGAGAAAATGGAGAGAAAGGCAAGGTCCGATATTATTTTATCCATGATGCCAAGCGAAGTCAAGAAATTTAGTAAAATTAGAACGTCTCGAGCTTTGTGGTTTAAGCTACAAGAGACGAACGCATCTACAGAACCAGCCAGGATGGCCCTTCTTCTCATAGACATCACACATTTTCGTATGTCGGGGGATGAGGACCTGCGTGATCAGCTGGACAATTTTTTTGATCTTGTTGACAAACTAGAAGCCATGGAGGTGAATATTCATCCTGCCTTGAAAAGTACACTCCTATTAAACAGTCTGCCTGATAGTTTTGATGGTTTTCGCTGTGCGATACTAGCACGTGACGAATTGCCAACAACTGATGTAATAAAATTGAAGGTTTTGAGTACTGTCGAAGTGAAGAAAAGTGGAACAGAGAGCAGTGAGAGCGGAGCCTTATTTGCAGCTAAAAGAAATACCTACAAATTCAGGGGAAGTAATTCATCCCAGGCTCAAGGCCCCAAGAGGACATTTCCCTTTAGATGTAGTCGATGTGGTCAGATGGGGCATAAATCATCGGAGTGTCCCAATCGTGAATCACCACAACAGGAGTACAACTATCGAGATGATCAGCGAGGGTACTCTTACGCTAATCCACGTAGAGGTGTCATCAGTGTACCACCTGCCTGACTGGCAAACTGACAGCCCTGCCTTTTCCAAAACGTGAGTCGAGGAGTGACGAGCCACTTCAACTAG